CCACTACTACTACTGCCACCACCACCACTACCACTACTACTACTGCCACCACCACCACTACCACTACTGCCACCACCACCACTACCACTACTGCCACCACCACCACTACCACTACTACTACTACTACTAAAACTACTACTACTGGTATTAGTACATTAGTACTATCAGTGCCACTACTACTAGGTAAATTTGTATTATGTAAATAAATCTTATAAATTTGGCTTTTGCACATGAATTACCTGAACTTTCCAAACACATTCCTATAACTTTCTCAGGGGCACCTTTGCAGAAGACTCGCATAAATGGACTTCCAAGATCGCGAGTGATTACAGACATACACTGTGCACTTGATATAAAAGGAAATTGGCGAACAATACCAATTTCATATGGCATCTACAAAATAAATAAATAATTTTTATGTTAGTTTCTACTGTAACCAGAATGACAATGACTGCTTTCAATAAAAAATAATTGAAACATTATACATTTTCTTAAGACAATTAAAAACAAAAGCACAGCAAAACAACTGAATAATAGACAAAGTTTTTTCCAACTTGCTTTTGGAAGATAATAGGATACAGATAAATATGTGCATTAGCTGTGGTTTTTGGCATGCTTTTGAGGAAGTGCAGTGCAAAGAAATGAGAAAAGCAAGACAAAGTACCTCCAGAAGCCCACCAATCAATGTTAACTTGTCCAGATCATCTGAGTCCTGAAAGCAGATATAGCAATAAGAGTACATACAATTTACAATACAATTCTGAACAGGCGAAAAATTGGAAGGGTGTTTAGTTCATATTTTTACAATATATACAAATACATAACAACACATAGAAAATACAGTACAATCTAAGCCAGAATCGATCGGGACAAAAAAAGTGTAGCTAGGGAGATTTCCAGTTTATGGAGGGTTTTTTATTTTATGACACTTTTGATACTGATATTTCTATTCTGAAACTAGTAAATTAATGTAAGTAAAAAAGTAATTATAGTACATTAAAAATTACATGATTTAATTACGAATATTAAAATAGATTTACATATAACGTATTTGTAAACGAAATCACCAATAAATGAAAATTAAACATTCTTCATTGACAGCTTCTGAGTCTCCCTTGGTTCCGTAAGTTTGTCTTTTTCATCAAACATTTCAGTTTTATGTTTTTCACATTGTTAAACTGGTTGTAAAACTCCACTGTCTACAGGCTGCAATCGGACTGTTTGCCGACTCCTTCAATGCCCAATGTGCCATAGCCTAGAGTACAATAATTTTCTGATATCCTTTCACGGCCTTGAGCAATACGTCCCCAGCTGAGGGATTACGATTTTGAACATGAGGCAGGGAGAGCCACGAATAGAAGCCATGCCTGTACACCTTCCTATACTCAGAGTTAGGAACTTACTAAGTGCCCATTTTCTTAGTGCAGTGACATAGCAAGAGTGGATTGAGTGGTTTCACTTGAATCCAATTAAGCTGCATACAACAGAAATTTGCCTCTCATATTTAAGTAATTACTAGAATTATACATAGAGATAATTTTAAAATGCTATGCCACAACTGTATATTGTAATTTAATACATGTATTAATACATCTGAATAAGTAAATAAATTTCCCTTCATATAGGTATTTTCTTTTATGTTGTAATTGGCACTGGTGAATGCTATTAAACAGAATCATGCACACCATTGCAAACAATCCCAGAGTACAATTAAAGAGCCACAAATATAAATGCTTGTATTGGGCATTTGGTGACTAAAATTGTGTTGTTTTTCTGGTAGATGAACTGTGTACATTGCTGCTAAAAACAATGCTTCCACAAACTTTGGCCTGGATCATTCATAACACACATTAGAAGGACAAATGGGAGTCATGAAGAGGATTTCTTTAAGAAAGGGCAAACTGGCACAAATTAGATTGATGTTCTAGATATGGTGAAAATTGGGGGAAACATGGGTGGAAATTGTTGCTTAGGGGAAGCGATGTGTTTCAGTAAGTTGGTGCACCATTCATCCACAACTGATTTACTTATGACCAGGACATGTTCTGGTCTAAAGAATTCTGGATTCCTAATAGCCCTGATTGGAATTCTATCAAATGCATCTGAAGTGAAGTTGAAACAGATAATATTAAGTCCAGAAAATTAATGCAGAATTTACAAAACATTGCTACCAAAGCTACATTTGTCGATTTGTTCAGTGCTCCTTTATGGACAGCATTTGTGAGTTTGAGGTCAAAAATGGAGGTAATTATTTACGCTAAGGGGATTTACATTAAATAATTTCACTATTGTGAGGTTACACAACTGATATAAAAAGGGATTGATTGATAATTTTGTATTTCTAGGTGTGCCTAATGATCATTAGTACCATTAGTGTAGTGCATATTTTTTCATGGAAGGTGTCTGTGATCTTCTCCAGCTGCAGAGCTTGTTGATGGCTGACCTCCATGTCAGCTTGCGGGAATTTCCCTACCTGGTGTATCCCATCAGCAGGGCCCCTCCACAGCAAGGGTAAGCTTGAAGCTCATGTGTGGTAGCGTATTGTATGCAAGAGTAAGCGTGTGTATGTAAAGAGAGAGAACAAGACAAGGAAGAGGAAGGAGAGATTGTGCACAGTCCATGGCTTATTTGTTCAGGTACTGCCCCTGCATTTGCCAGGTATTGACCAGAGAAACCTTGGAAAACTATCTATCAGAACAGCTGCCACTAGAATTCTGCGCCAGGCAGTGGCTGACTTTGTTCTAGCTATCTTAGTAGTGTTGAAAATCTTGCCACTTTTGAGAATCGAAACCCTTGAGTCTCCCGGTGAGGGGCACTGCAGTGACACCAATTTATGCCAAGAATCACCTAAGCTGGTATATACAAAAATAATGTTTTAAGAATTTTTTGACAAATATAATTTTATTTTAAGAAAAGTTGAAGTTTATCCATATTGAAGCACCATATCATGCGTAATGAACTGAAATATGAAAACCTTAATCCTGTTAACAAAGAAATTAGCAAAAAAGAGATTAGTGAGCATAATGGCATGCATTAAGAGTGAGCATGAAAGGCATAGAATATAATAAAATGCATGAAGATAAGCCTGTGAAATATTTTTAGGAAGATTTATTACTTCTAGAAAAAATACTTTTGTCAAGGTTAACATCAGAACACCTGTACAAAAGGCCTGAGAAAACTTGACCACAAATGTGCCCTCTTACAATTAAAAAAAAATTAAAATCTAGATGTATGATATTTTTACTTTCTTGCGATTAAGAAGGAACTTCTTAAGAAGAGAAAGTTAGTAATGCTGCGAGGGAATAAAAACGAATTTCCATCAGACAAACTTTTAATATAGGGTTCTAGAAACGAAAAACTGGATAAAAATGCTTCCTAATTTTAGGAGGGGAAATCCACTAACAAAGGCAGAATCACTTTATGGGCCCTTGATTGAAAGAAAAAAATTGGAGCCGTTAATAAAGGGGAAAAAATGTTTTAAAAAATTAAGAACCGAGATTAAAAATTGAGAATATTTCATATCATGCAAAATCTACTGGTACTTTCAAAAAATTGTACACAAGCTCATTTCAAAATCTGTTATTGTGTTGTTTCTATGATGCATTTGGTAATAAAAGATAAACCGGCTGTCCAGTTTAACTTATGAAGGACTGCACAGACATAGATGGTGGGGTTGCCACCTTTCCACTCCTCATCTTGAATGGTTAATTTTGGGGTACCTTCCCCTAGACAGATTACCTTTACTATGACTTTGAGTCCTGCCTACCCGTCCAAAATAAAATGGAAAAGTATGGGAAGAAAAAACTTGAGATGGGTACCAGGAGCCACCAAGCTGCTCAATCCACCTGTCCTCTTCCAGGGATGGGTCCTCTTCTGGGACGAATGGGTGTGAGAAGGGAATTAGTTGCATCTTATGACAGGGGGGGAAGACCCATGGTACTATTCTTCTAAAACACCCAGACACCACAAGGGGTTAATAGAACATTACCAGAGCAACCTCCCTGTGATGATGGGATTTGAATTCAGGTTCTTCAAGTTAGCAAACCATATCTAACCAAAATGCTACAACAATCCCTGAGTATACCTAATGTGCTGACTTTAAGTGTAAAACCATAAGTTCATAGGTCAAAACTTTGACACAGTTAAAATTATAATCATTTCTTTTCTTAAACTATAATCAATTCTTCATTGCACTAAGAACTTGTGATGAGAGTCTTTCCATCATGAAAACCATAGAAGAACTTTTAAGTCTGCCAAAGAACAATGAAATCATTTTTCAGAGAAGTACACCCTCACTTCAAAACAAAACAAAATAAAATAACATCTTACCAAAGGTTTCACAGCAAGAGGTCTCACAACTGTAGGAGATAAGGTGTCATACCTTGATGTGTCAGGACCTGGCTCTTCCAAAACCTATTAAAATGCAAAAAAAAAAAAAAAAAAAAAAACAGCATATAAGGTTTTTAGACTGTTTTTTTAACTGCTTGATAATGCATTTGTTACAGAATATCTTTACCAACAAACTAAGTCAGTAAATTAACTGATGTCTCAAATTCTTGAGTATATAGGAGCAAGAATTTGGAACCAATTCTTTTCTTTAGAATAAATATTTAAGGCTTCAAAATTTTTATCATAAAGAGAAAATACAGCACTGGATTGCAAAAATTTTGAGCTATTATTATAACATTAAAAATTTGCAATTACAGTGAAGCCTGTCATATCAGCCACCTCCATTCTGCAGATACCTTTATTAGTGGCGAGTTTTTGAGAGGAAACGATTGGCTTTTCTATAAGACACGGGTAAATATTCCCTCTATAAACTGTGGGGGTAACCTTCCCCCACAGTTAGCAACCAGGCATAATTCATAGGTTAACACGTGTTAGATGGACACAGCTCGATGATAAATTTGCAATTTTGAGCCCTAAAAAAGCAGATCATTGTGACAGGCTCTATTATCAGATTTCTTGGAAAAGAGATATTTGGAGTTACTAACCGATGGGAGGAATACTTTGTTTCTGATGTAGACAATTTCATGAATACTCTGAAGTTCTTGCAGGGTATGAATTGCAACTCAAAGTCTGGTTGAGAATCGAGTCTACAAATGAAAATAAACAATAGTTTGAAAAAGATTAGTGCATAATCAGGGAATTGAATGATTTTGTACTGTTTAAATATGAACTTGTAAAATGGTTTCCCGTAGTTTTGCAGTTCACCTGCAAGCTCAAATTCGAAGGCGTAAACATAAGCATGCATAAAAGCAGGTGTCTTGAACTCATTCTCAAAACCACCATTGAGCGGCCCATCTTTCATGGCAATTGTTCTCCAGAGTCAATGGTGGCTGCCTAAGACAGGTTTTATATTTTTACATTTTCTGTACTTGTAGTCCTATCTGCAGAGACAGATGGTCATGTCCTATTTCTGAAGAACTAGTTCAACATTCATTATGTTGCTTCTGTTACGCAACTGTTCTCTACATTCACAGATACTAACATAATATAGATGTAATTATGGGCAAGCTTAGTTGTAAAAGAACACTGGAATTCCCATGAAGTGATTTCACATGGTGACTGTTTCAAATTTTTTGATATACAACCGATAAGCATTTAATATTATAATTATGAAATTAAAAATACATGTAACTACATTATACAAGTTAAAAGTCACAAAAATTGGTGAACCTTTTTGCTCAGGGCACTCGTAATCTATAAGACAACTTTCAACATTAATAATGACCACAAAAAAATTCACCAGATTATCATTATATTCTTTTATTGTGAAGAGAAATAAACTAAATTTAAAATGTACAAATAATATATTATTTTAAATTATCACAGGATACATAAAAATGGAAGTAGTAGGAGTGAAATATTTCCTAACAAGCAAAAAGGGCTTGTGGCATCAAATAAATGATTAGCATTACGTTGCAAAAATATTGAGCTACTAGTATATCATAACAAAACTATAACAAAACATCACCGATGAAAAATAAAGCAAACATTTTGTATTCATTAATCTTCACATACACTTTTAGTCACAAGAATTTTAGAATGCGTTTTGATGTCATTTTTAATCATTCCCTTCACAAGATCTAAATAATCTGATGAAAATATGTAATATTAAAATTTGAAAGAACTGTGAAATTACTTTTAAACCTTAAAACATTTGTGAACTGACCCACTGAGTAGCAAGAAACATGCTCAAATCCAGAGGATCCCCTTTAAGTTCACCATCAATTCGTGTCAGGGAATGGCAACATGCCATAGCTGCTACAATAGGAGCTCTCACATGAAGTCGTGAAGCATCTTTCACAACTTCACTAAATGTGCCATTAACTGCAGGTATCACAGCAGAAAAATCTAAACCATCCTCAGTTAGTGTTCCAGTCTGCAAGAAAAAAGTTATGACCCATAGAATCAACTGATCTCTGTTGCAATAATTAAATGCTCTCCACTGAAAGAAATGCTATTTAATGACAATGTAAGTTCAATATATTTTTGACATTATCAATGTTACCAGTTACCCAATGTTTGCCTTCATTCAGAATTCTGAAGTTTTACTTGCTTTTTAAAGCTCTTGTAAAAAATTTTCAAAGGTCCAGATAACAAACTAGATACATATCAACTAATATCCAGGAAATGTCGGCCAAACAAGCAGATGTTTGCAAGTAAGCATTTACAACAGGAAGCATACCTCCGAAAGATAAATGTGAAATTCACCATGTGGAATTTATTATTTTGGAAATTTTCACATACGAATCGTTCATAGAAAACTGAAGACAGAGATATGGATTAGTGATATTGTGTGGAATTCACAACCATGGTGAATAAAGTCAATCAGGGGACCAATTTGACTGAATCAGGTGTGTGTGTGTTTAAATAGTACATAAGAAAATAACTTTTTTCAAATAAAATTACTAATAACATCACAATTATCAATGAAGTATCGTAAGGAATAAAACATTTCAAGTTCAAGATGTTATTGCATTATTACAATTAACTTTGAAAACTTCAGAAATAAATCCAATATTGTAAGCATAAATGGAATGATATTTGAATATTTCTTACCTTATCAAATGCTACCAATTTCACCTTTCCACAAACATTGATTCTTGGAGGAGATATGCAAAATATACCCAACTTCGATAAACGATTCTGAGAGTATACAGTTCCTGCTGTCATGGCAGCAGGCAAAGCAGGAGGCACTACAATAGTGACGATATCCAATGTACGTAAAAGAATAGTTTCCAAATCTGCCTGCGCGCATTTAAAAAAGAAAGGTGTCACATGTGCTCACAATGAATTAAAAGTAGCTAATATAACTATGATGTATTTCTAATGTACTCGAAATTAACACATTATAAAATTCCATTTTCATAAAAACGGAAAATTCCTGCTCAACTGCTATCATATTACAATATGACAGCATTGAAAAAGAGAATAGAACACTCACATGGCGTGACATGTACAGGTAGACACTGAACGACATTCCAGCAACAGCAGCAGCAAAAAGTAATAAAACAAATTTCATAGAATCGGCATAAAATTTAAATCCCATTGGTTTTGGAAAAAGAATTGAGCGCACAAGCTCTCCTTTTGTAGTTAAGTAACCAACTCTAACAACAACAGCCTTCACCAAAAAAAAAAAAAAAAAAAAAAAAAAAAAAAAAACAAATAAATAAAAATATGAATAACAAAGAGGATTCATTTCAGATATTATAACTAAATTAGCCCCTCTCCTCTACTAAATTTTTTTAGACACCACTCCCACACTGCAGTCTTCTAGAGCAGCACAGTAGACAATGCACTGCACCCAAGCCATTACCGTCCTCCACCCCACAGCTGGGTACTTAAGCCCCTTGGCTCACCCACGCCTGCGTAGTCGTTTCGTGGCTTTCATAGAGCAGACAAGAAAGGACTCAACTTACATTTTCTTGTTTTCTGTTTCAAAAATTTCACATATTCAAATTCAATTTCATTCATTTTCTTGTAATATTAAATGATTTTATAACCGATTCTTTCGTTCTGTTCTTAAAATGTTAATACTATTTTCTAAATTTTAAATTATTAGTAATTTATATATCCTAATGTTTTTGACTTTTGTTTTTGTTTTTGACACGTTTTAATTTGTTTTTTCTTGTACTATAAAACTGATGATGATGACTAAGCCATCAAAAGCTGCTATTGTAATAAACAATATTGTTGGCAATGAGGACTCATAATTATTTCAATTAAAATACATTGTCAATATCCTATCTAAAAACACCATATTATTTAATATAACTTTTAAAAAAATTTAAATCAAAGATTGATGTTAGAAAGATGTATTTCATCCTTGAAAAATTTTCTCTTTGAACAATGATAGTCAGTGAAAATTTGTTTGCATCTTAACACAAGTATTCATGTTTACAAGTTGACAAAATTGGTCATTTTTGCAATTAGAAATGAAACTCCAAGAATATATGTCAAAATTGTAATATCCAATGAGTTATTGGAATGAATGGTTGGCAGGTCATTGGAAGGAATGCTTTATTTTTACTTAACTTTCACTTTAACTTCAATCTAATTTTTTTCTAAAATTTATCAATAACTTCTGGGAGGTATTGTTGAAAAATTTAAAATGAATTTTTATTTTAATACAATTATTACTTTAAATCAGGTTTTCTGATTTCAATAGACATTTTCAGCAAGGTAAAATTATGTACTGTATACCTGAATACAAGTTGACTGTAAATATAAGATAACCCCCTAAAAATGAAGAGGACTTATTTTTTTTTAAATTTATTTGAATTCGTAAGTAATTCTTACTATTTAGTCAAAATAAAATTACAAATTGCCTACAAAATTGTCTTGTTGACCCAAGAATGTTAAAACTTATTATCGGAGCTATGAAAATTTTCTTGTTCCTTAAAATTATCTCAATCAAATAGTGAACTATTGTCCTCATCTTAATGTTGTCATGGTTTCTTTCTTTTGGGTCCTGTTCCCACAGTGCGTCCTTTGATTTTATAGGTTATCCTGAAAAGTTTTGCATGTTGAATTTGTGTTTGTCTTTAATCTGATGACACCTAAAACAATTTTCTTCCAGTCATGCTCATTTTTGTTGCCTCCAACAGAATATATTTCTTGCGAATGCAGATTAGCACTCTTGGATATCAGATCAAGAGTAAGCACAGTCTTGATGATCAGAGCACCATGCAAATCTTAATAAAACATTCAAATCTCAACAAACTATTCTGGGTTAGGCAGATCTCATCAATCTTAGTTTTAAAGCTACTGAATTTGAATATTACCTCAATAAATTCAAGATGCTTTGACAACTATGCTGCCATTTATTTTCAAGTTTTCATCTTCACACTAGTAGTGTAACAATAGGGGAATCACTGGGCTTCAGCCTCTTCCTCACCCTCCGAAGCAGATGACAAATACACTTTTTAGTAATTTTCTATAATATTTAGGGGGAGAATTTTAATGAAATGTCACTTTTTCTTCTTTTCACTTTAGAACACTGCCATTTAGTACAGAAATTAATTTTAAGTTATGACAAAATGAAACGACCTATTTAAAGATCATGTTTCTGCGAAATCATGTATTAATTTTTTCCGTCATTTTTAATGCATAATTCTCTGATTTCATCGATTTCATTGTCATTTTAATGGTTCTTCCTTCAAATAATATTTGAGCTGTTACAAATGTTCTCCACAGAATTACTGAGAAGTCTATTCAATTTTCATGCTCAGAAATTGTAAAGTCAGCCCTTGTGTTTTATTCTAAGGTTCCTGTGACACCTATCAGTGCAATTGTTGGTTCAGCCGATTTTGGGATAACCAAAGACAGACATGGTAAAAAACAGTCCAAACCAAGTATATTTGAGTTCACTTGATCGAAAGGAAGAATCATCCATGATATATCATCCAGCTTGAGTTGTTCATCTGAACTGGTTTTGATCACACTTTTCACATAATTTTCCTTTGCCAACCCGTAATAATAACTAAAGCTATTCAATATTTGAACACAATATGTTATAAATAACATGCACACACTTGTGGAAAAGTTCTAGATACATCACTAATTATATCCAATTCAAACTCTTTTCAAAAACATTACTTGATCTAGCCTTTGTTCCAGGGGATTTTAATTTAAATATAATTCTGTTTTGCAACTTTAACACTAACTGAAAAAGATTTTAAAATCTTTAAATCATATTAAATATAGTTCTCTTAATATAAAATTTGAACAACTCAGTATTAGGATTTGAAATTAACAATAAGGCACTATAAGTACATACCACTTCTCTGTTATAGAAACGTGTCTGCAGCACTTCAGTTCCGCAAAATAATGTATGCCGCTTGTGAAGTTCCACATCATAATTCACACTTGAGTAAGGTGGTGGTGCTTTGGTAACTGGTACACTCTCACCTGAGAAAAGAAAACAAAATCTCTGTTGGTGTTTGTGATTTGAATAAGAAAACACGAGTTATAACACTATTTTTTAACATTCTGCAATGTCTCTTATCTGAAATAAAAATGCAAATTAGACAATAAAAAAATACTTTTCATTTAAAAAGTTATGATGAGCAGAAACTGCAACACCAAGAATTGCTTTATAAATAAATTTGGATCAATATAAGTTTAAAACAGAAATATCCGAATCAATTTAATGATGGATATAAAAAAATGGAATCTAAGGTGAGCATACATTAAAAGTAAGTGTAGGAGATTGAACAACAATGCTTCCTCCATTAACATGTGATATCTCAGAACACTGTCATTTGTTGAATACGAAAGATATTCTTTGGAAGAAAACCATAGACTCATTATTTTATAGTTACAAATAGAGAGTTTAACTGATGATCTCCATATGTAATATTCATTTGAACGAAAGCCGTGGGTTAATGCAAATAAAATCATGAATGGAAACACTTGCAATAAAACATGTATGGTCACCCTAGTTATAATTTTGCAGCTATATACTGTTTCAGAACACCACAAAGAGTAAACTTGTGACTTTATGTACATTGACTGACCCTTATTTATTTTTTGGTTAATTCTTTTTTTTTTACACTAAACACTCACGAACAGGGATTCCCAAAGCAGATATTGCATTTCTAGGTGTACAATACACTTCTGACATTGAGTTTCATTTGATGGTTTGTGACTGCCTTCTTTTTTCACACTTTTAATGTGAAACGGTCAATAGAAGCTGACAAATTGCAGGACTACATGCCTTCCTCTCCTACACCTGGCATGTAATTCTACAAAAAGTTAGGATAATTCTTGACCAGAGATTCTCAAACTGTTAATGCCACTGCACTACCTGATATGTAAAATAAATGTTAAAAGAGAAAAATTGAGCTACAATAATTTTTACCGTACATGATGTGTTGGACGGTTTTTGCACTATTCATTATTTTACAAATGCAATGAAAAGAAATTGAGTATTCGAGCACTGGCACAACTATTTGAGAAAATGCCCAAAACATGGTGTTACTCAACTAAATCAATAACATTTGAACACAATAAAAAATATTGCAATATAATCCGACTTCTAGGAATTATAACTATAAAACAATCTCAATATGAAATATGCAGTAAATATTTTTTTAATTCTATTTTATAAAGAATGAAGCCAATTTTTGTAACAAAAAATGTTAAACTGCTTACTTTCAAGAAGCTCATACTATCAAATAGGGAAAATGTGATTTGAAAAGTAACACCATCAGATGAGCATGGAAAAAGGGCAGTCACTAACTCAGTCACTAACCACCCAGCTGACTTAAATAAATAAAGTGTGATTGGTTTCCTGCACTTAATTGTCGGAGTTGTCAAGTAGACTTCAACAGCAGATCAGAATTCTGGCCAAGAAAAGAAAAAAATTAGAAATTGTAACAAAGAGGATGGAAACCCAGAATATTAAATAAATAAATAATTTATAAACACATTAAGTGTTTCTATTGTTTCAAAAGGACTTAATTAATGCTCTGAATCGCAGCTAAGCTACATTTACAATTTCATTCTCTAAGAATCATCTTCACTATCTGAATGGTGAGTAGCAGTAAAATTGATGGAAACTAGTAATGTTTATTATTTCACAATTATGGTGAAAATACAACACCTACAAAAGAAATTGGCATAGGATCTATGTTGTTATTACAAAGCTTTAAATACGTCTGGCACAAAGATGAAATGAATATGTTTCTAAATTACATTGTGATGTGAAAAGATTATGTTGTTAATAAAGTGATAATGTAAAGGCAGCTCCACAAATTTGGCATTCGCCGAGCAGCGAGCTAGTGTTCGCTGAATCCGAACAGCTAATGTGTCGGCGAATGTGCGCTCCCTTTCGTTTCCTAAAAGACTGACACGCGATGGGTAGGGCGCAAACGAAATGTTCGGTGCTCAGCGAATTGCAAGCAACCCGTCCACACTACTCAGAAGGCAGCGAGCAGTTGCTCGGGATTCGCTGAATGACGCATGTGTGGAGCAGTCTTAATACGGGCTAGTTTTCGTGATTAGATAAAATAAAATATTGCTTTTTATGCCATCGACAAAGAGGATATCAAAAAAATTGAATACCATATTTACCTCGTTACAAAATGAGGTTTTCTTAAATATTTCACCTGAAAAATAAATTCGTCTTATTTCCAAAGAAAATTTCATCTTTCTTTTGAAGGAAAATTTTGTCCTACTTTCGAAGACAATTTCATCTTATATTCACAAATTAAACCTAATTTTTTGTGTTCTAAGTTTTTAAGTTGCCTTTCAATGATGAACTCAAATGCTGTCAAATCCATAAGCTGCAAAGGCTAAATAAAGAAGATGTGTGTCTGTAATACCTAATCATAATCATGGACGTATTGCATTACTCATCAATTTGCTGAGTAATTTAGATCAGTATTTTTGAATGGGTTGATAAAGAGAGAATCTCAACTAGCATTGTAAAAAGTGAAACTTGATATAAACAATAATGAAAATCATGACTGAAATTTTGCAAAGATATAAAGATTTATGAGTTTGCAGATTACAACTTGACGATGCAAACGTTTAACTATGTGAATTTCAAGTCAATGTTTGTTGGACAAAACAGAGACCACAGCGAGCAAGGCAGGAAGAAAATTTGATGTTCATAGGTGGTGTCAGATTAAGAATGCAAATTGAATAGGGAAAACTTTCAAGAGCCCTAAGAGGTCAGAGGACAACCTAATACAGGCGGAGGACCAGAACGAAAGTAAAAATGATACACATGAGAAGATGAACATGGACATGACAAACACAATGATGGTGATAATGATTATAAGGTACAAGAAAATACTGATAACACAGGAAAAAGATTTTTCTTTCTCATCAATGAGACAATTTTCCAGTCAATAAGCATTTTGTGATTTTACTGAGGGTGAATTGTAAGAATTAGTTAAATTAGCAAGTAAAATTTATTAGAAAAGAAACATTTTCAGGAAGCTTCTTCAAAATTAGTGTCTCTTCTTATATTCCGTTGTCAGGAAAATTCAGCATATTAATCTCTTAACCACAACAATACTACACAAAACATTTAATGATTCTCCTGATTAATTTGAATCACAGAAAGTGCACATAAATGTCACATCAATAGAATATCTTGTGAATGTATCTTGTCTACACACAACTCAAGAGTGAAGCCAAGGCATATAATATATTGCTTGATAGATTGCATTTATAAACCAAATTCTCTGACAAATAAGTAACTAGGTATAAAAGAAATAATAACATTTCTGTTTTGATAACTATTAGCACTTCCGCCATATAAAATTTCAACATATTAATTTTTATTAAATAATAAACAATGTATGAACTATTGATCTAATATAACAATTGTCATAGCATAAGCCCATTATTTGCAATAATAGAGCACTGTCTATTCAGACACATGAAAAATTGTTCACATCAATAATGTATAATAAAACATTGGATAATTTTATAGCAAAAATAATTAAAAATTCCTTCTAAAACCTCAGAGGTTAAGAAATAAACAGGCATACAAATACCAAATTAAGGATATAACATTAAAAATTGAAATGAAACAGTTCACTTGCACATTACTTAGAGAGGAAAAAAAAAAAAAAAAAAAAGAGAGAATAATTAGAAATAAATAATGGTGGCCAATGAGTGACATTTTAGTCACCACATTAATTTTCACCATTAGAGAAAAATTACAAGTCTACAATTTCAAAAAGTCACAAGAGAATAATGATTCCCATTAATTAACAATAAGATATCAAAATTTGATAAGAATACAAATGATTTGCTCTTGGCGGGAGAAACTGGGGAAATTAAGGAAAATATTTGGAAATGTGAACACAGATATAATAATATCACTTGGTGCACACATGACAAGTAAAAACACAACAGGAAATTGAAAAAAAATTACATAAACATTTTTACACACACACCAAAAAAAAAAAAAGGATTTTCAATCAGTCACTAGTCTTTCATAGAAATGCACCAAAAAAATCAGCTGTGTAGTTCAACCAAATTTCAAAATGCACTACGTACACCATAAAATGTAGTATCATGAAAAATTAACTCATTCAACAGTGTAAGATTTTTTTAAAAAAATCCTCCTATATTGATTATAGCAACATAGAATAATGCATATCAGAAATACAAAATTATTAATTGAGATTCCAGAAAATAGTTTACCACAATTCAAAACAACAGTCTTACATTTTAAAGAATAACAAATTTTCCAATTATCTCTAACATCCATAATGGCATATATTTGTCAAATAAAATACATAAACAACACTTTGGGAACACCTGTTCATGTGGATTAGTGTTTTACAAATGGAACCACCACCAATATTACCCATACTAAGAAATGAGAGTTCCTGCAACATCCACAGATTGATATCAGGGATGTACTTACATTCTTGGTCGATCCTCTGGTAAGGCTACTTAGAGAGGCAAGGTTGTGGTAACAACTTCCTCAAAATTCAAAAATCCACTTTATGTCAGAAAATCTGGGGTCTGTTGAAGAACTTTCTAGGAATTCATGGTAAGAGGAAGTAAATTCAAGTGGAAAATACAATACCCTTCTGATCATTATTTAAAACAAAACTCGTAAAAACAGAAGCATGCAAACACAACAAACAAACATCATCTGGACACTAATTTTTTCCAGATAATTCATAACATAAACAGAGATTACAAAATGAAATCTTCAATATTATTGATACACATCTTGAAGATAAAGCTTAGCATGCACCACTCGCAATGCAATAACTAACAGAAATTTCCATTAATCATATAACTGTGTGTACTATGATACAAAATAACACACAGAATACATGATCTGTAAAATTAGTTCTCTTCAGACAACGCTGAAAAACAAACTTTCCTCAGCAATATTCATAACTCTCTCAACCCAGCAAAACAGTGTTTGCCTCAAGTTCATGATCACACCATTTAATTTCAGCTGATGTTATACCAGGTACAATACGCTATAAAACAAGGAGAGCTTCAAAACACACAGAAGAATATCTTGAAACTCATTTCCAAAACAACTGGCCCCAGCAACAATAGTCCAAGATAGTCCAGTGAGCTTGAACATCTTCGTAACTCAGTCACTGGACAATTATGGTGGATGCTCAATAATAAGCTGCTTAATAAGACTTTGTGGCACTAAAACAATGTAAGATGCCACACAAGAATATTCCACCTACTTCATGGTTGTACCAGCCAAAGTATTTCATACAAATCCAAGTTTGAATATTCAATGTACTATACATAATAAAAAGTAAAAATAGTCCCCTTAGGTAAGTTGGATGTGCCAGAAAGAGCTAGAGTACAAATCCAAACTGCCAGCCATTTTCTACAACATGTCACTAAAATTTACTTTGCAGAAAGTACACGGAGAAACGTGACATTATTATTATGTCAATGGCTTAATCTCAGCAGAACAACATAAAAACTTTCTACCGAGACAATAGAGCATGGGACATTAGAGCTATTCATTATATGTATAAAACGCACGATATTCCGACAAAAACGCCAGGCTCAGTCAGCTGATGCCTCGAGTACAATAGTACCAGCCCTCATAAAGACAAGTTTATATCCTTCATTTACACTATGAAAGGAAAGTACTTCTACGACTGAAGTTTATTTTATCCTTCATGTGTATACGTATCAGGATTCAAAACTTGGAATTGTGCAAAAAGTAAATCGTTACAATTCATAATTTTTTCAATATTTATTTAGCAGCTTTTTGGTTACCCACCATTGAAACAACCATAGTAAGTTATAAAAAGATTGTGGAAGGGCTTGAAGAAGGCAATCAATATGATATATCCAGCCACCATCTTATACAAGAGCGATATTGTACCTACAACATTTTGTAAATAGTGTAGTAAGACTTCCAGAAATCAACAATGTG